ATTATAGAAAACTATTACATATACATAGAAAGAGACTGCAAGCCACAAACCATTACCAGACAGGATCACACACAACAGCGTCGTGTTATACGGAACCTGGAACTACAGAACTTCATTGCATCCGATCGGAATATCATCAGCTTGCCTGCTAACGACCAGGGCGCAGAACGAAACTAGCACACAAATCCAAGTTCCTTCCCATGCACACCAAAATGTTGCAATGGAACATTTCTTCCCCTTCCCCACTCTCCTACACACCCACACCACCACCAGCTATGGTAAGGGCAGCCGTGGGTATGTCCTCAGTCTTTGGTTTCATGAGTCAGAACTCACAAAATGAAGTTCTGAGAAAAATCATGATTTGAGAGGAACACATAGTTTAACTGTGTCTGACTCCCTTGGAAAAACGATAAACTATACCACAGATTCCAACCAAAAACCAACAGGGTGCTTGTATGTAAAAAGCTATGTTCGTCTCCCAGGCCAAGCAAGGACAAACTGGCTTCTGGAAGGAGGCTCTTACCTCATTGGTTGTGAGCGTGAGAATCCGGTCTAAGTCCTCCACCAACTGCTTGAACGTCGGTCTCTGGGAGGGCACTGCATGCCAACAGTCCCTCATCATCATATACCTAGAAAAAATGGATTTCCTTGGTGCATTAATTTTTTAAGTACTAGGTACCTGGCTATCGACAGTTTTAATAGCCAATATGGAGACGTGCTCTAAATTATGAAAATGCACCAGAGCTTTCCAATCAACTACATTAGTAGGTATTTGTTTTCCTAAAAGATTCCCTGCTTGGCTCCTCTGAAAGGCACTTTGATTCACAAAAATATCACTTTATCAAAATGTTTCGGGAAGGCATTTATGTCATCAATAAAGATGCATCTATATGTTTTTCACAGGTATCTGTGCAACTGTATGACATATCACACTCTTTTTTTTTTTTTTTTTTTGAGACAGGGTCTCACTCTGTCACCCTAGCTAGAGTGCAGTGGTGTCATCGTAGCTCACAGCAACCTCACACTCCTGGGCTCAAGCCAGCCTCCTGACTCAGCCTCCTGAGTAGCTGGGACTACAGACACGCGCCACCACGCCTGGCTAATTTTTCTATTTTTAGTAGAGACTGGGTCTCGCTCTTGCTCAGGCTGGTCTTAAACTCCTGGCCTCTAGGGATCCTCCCGCCTCGGCCTCCCAAAGTGCTAGGATTACAGGCGTGAGCCACTGTGCCCGGCCTGGTATCACACTCTGCTCTCCAGTCTTCCCTCCCCAAACGCCCCTGCCTGGACTGAAGCAGCTCTGACGTTATCTGCCCAACACTTGGGGTTTTGTTTCAACAATTCTAGTTAACAAAGGTTCTTCAGTTAAAAAAAAATAATAAAGTTTGAAAACCACGACTTTAAGGTAAGGATTTTATGAATTAATCTGTCACCGCTGGGCTGCACACTAACTTCCTGCTGAACTCTTAGGCCTGCGTTCCCAGGCCTTATCTTGATTATGGGTTTCGACAGACCCTCCGTGCTAGGAAAAGCAATGGGAATGACAAGAGCACAATAAATGCCTTTATATAATACACTATAAAGTGTGGCCATTCATCAGACGTCCACTGTACACCAAAAAGCACTCACGGGATTACGGATGTAAAATCCCCGTGAAACGCCACACAATGGGCTGCAGTCTCTGGAACAATCACTGTTCTTAGTTAATCCTGGGGGGGCGGGTGGAGAGACTCCTCTCAAAGCACTGATTCTACCGCACAAGGCACACGTCACAAACACAACATAACGCCACTTAAAGTGTGAGGTAGGCTTTTCTAGAAACCAGCTCGCAGTTTTATAGGCAGATCTGGTACTCTAAGGAGGGCAGCTGGACAAATTTTTAATTCTCTGTGCTAAAATATGGGTGGAATATAGGTAACCAGACACTAGTTCATTCATTCCGAGGAAACGTGGTAGATGTCAATCTGTAATGGCAATTTTCAATGGTCGAAGCAGCTCTGGAAACACCCGTTCTCCATTCGCCCCAATGGGGATAGGCACAGCACTGAGGACAGGTGTCATCCGTTCTTTAATCCCACACTGTGCAGAGGCAGCCCTGTGGCTTTCTAGCTTGTTTCCTGACCATGTGTCTTCCTGTCACTGAGTGGGGACCACAGCAAGCACAGCAGTGACAGGAAGACCACTCCTACTGGCCCTGCAAAGTCAGGAGCCCTTGGCTGGGCGGCTGGACACCCTCTGTGATTTAAAGCCAGCTCCCTACACCTCCGAATGATGTTCTTTCTTTTGGGCAAGTAATGGTTGTCAGTGCAGCTATCTGGCTCAGTTCTGCGATTGAGCCCAGAAAGCTTCAGCGATTCTTCTTAGAGCATGTTTAGAAAACTGGGGGGCCTTGGGAAACGGAGCTAAGTCAGGCAGGCAGGACTGGCGTGGCCCGTCCACAACGGTCCTTACAGTTCATTGGTGCAGTTAGCCGGCTTATCCATCCTGTGTCCTTCCTTCAGCAGCTTAAAAAGTTCCTCCACAGGAATCCCCGGGTAGGGCGAGCCCCCTAAAGTGAAGATCTCCCACATTAACACCCCAAAGGACCAGCTGCAACAAAGGGAGAAAACATAACATCACTAACCCATCTGAATCACAGAAACCTAAACACGCCTGGTTAAGAAAATAAACATCCACTCACTTCTTAAGTTCAAAGACAAATGAGCCCTCCTGCAGCTCACCCTACATGCCCTTTCCTGCCCCACAAAGAGCATCTCCAAATAATGACATGAGATGTTCCGATGGAATTTTCCATCAATAGACAAAAAGTCAAACCACCCTAGCTCTGAAATAAAGTTGTTCATCTTAAATGCAGTGTTAGCAATGCGAGGATCTCAATTTCTAAGTTTCAAAGCCCTCTATGCTCCTTTCCAACTCTTCTAGCTCCCTGCATGCCTGCCCCAAGGGCTGTGATCCACCTGGACGGGCAGCAGACGGAGCAAGGCCAGTGAGCCCGTCCTGCGAGGTTGGAGCTGCCCTGCGTGGCCAGAGGAGCCCCTGCTGCACAGAGGTCCTGGGGCTTGCTAGGATGGTGAAGGCAGTCAGCACAGGGCTGGAGGCAGGAGGGAGGAATCCTGGCCCCAGACGAGTTTCCTGCAATAGAAACTGAAAACATCTCCCAGGGCACGATCTACACTTGACTTTTCAGAGACCCACAGCTGGACTTCCTGGGCCTTGTTCAGGAGACTCAATCCCTGGGATGCTCAAGCAAAGGACCCGAGTCCACCTATGTCGTGGGTGCTCTGGAAACTCGCCCTTCTGGACTCAAGGTGGTGAATTTCAGGAATGAAGCTATGGAGCAGAAGCAGCCGCACAGCACAGGTAGAAAGAGCCTCTGGGCCTCAGTCTGCTCGTTGCAAAAATGGGGTCATAATGTCTCCTCTCCAGGGTTGAGGGGGCCAACTGCGGCAGCAGAGAATCAATGCTTACCCCAGAAATCCTCCTGCTCGCACAAATAAAATGTAGCTCACGTGATTTTTTCCAAAAAACATTTTCCTTTGGAATAATTATAGACTCATAGGAACTTTGACCTCGCTTCCCCAGTGATAACATCTTTCAACTGAATTTCCAAATCTAAAATATCCATTGGAGTCTGACCCTAAGAGTATTTTTAAGTGTATCATAACAGAAGTATTACATAATTTCTACTGTATTTCTAGAACGTTATCAAGGATGCTAAGACAAGACCAGACTTTTTTTTTTTTTGGAAGGATAAACACAGTGAGCAGACCCCGTGGAGACCATCTGAGCGGACCGTGTCTCACTCAGCGTCGCCCTTTAAGGACAAACATGGGTTGGGGGACATATGACAAATCACCCTCAAGAAGGAAGAGTTTCAGGATTACTTCTTGAAGGGGGTGAAGAACACGCCAAGAGCGTGGCAAGATAGATGGCAGCTTTATAGCCGCACATCCGTGAATATGTTCGGGGGGGGGGGGACTTCCGCTCTGGCAAGAGGAGGCCAGTGGTTCCACCCCCTGTGCTCTTTGAAGCCAGGCAGATTAGTAACAGAGCATTGGTCACCAGCCTACCATAAAATCCGTCCTTTCTCAGGCCGGCTCCTGCACCTTCTATGAACGTGTGAAATGCAGCAGCTACCAAAGAATGGAGAAGGGCAAAGAACATACAATATTTTTACAATTCAAGCCCATGCAGAAGCCAGAGAAAATGGAGTCACTTACACATCACTCTGATGCGTGTACACTCTATCAAAAAGGGCTTCTGGAGCCATCCACTTGACCGGCAGTCGCCCCTGCAGATGGAGGAGACAATATAAAAACCAATATATTAAAACAAGTTTATTAGCAGGCTCCACGGGCCTAGGCCCTGCTTAAGAGCTGACACTGGGTGGTTTTTAAGCAGTCAGTCATTAGAACAGCAAAAAGCTCCAACTAGGACTCTACATAATGTGGGAGAGGCACAGATCTGGGGACGTTAATAAAACCCACCCCCTTGGAGTCTCACTATCCTCCGCAGCACACAGACATTCCTTCACCAACTTCCAGGCAAAAATTAACCCAGTAACTTCCAAGCTCTCATCTTTGTCACGGAAGTTCTTGACAAGAGCCGGAAGAAAATCCTAGAGGCTGC